GTAATGTGGTATAACAAGGTTTACATACATCGAGAGAACCTTTTCAAAGGGACTGTGTTGGTCGGCTTTCTGGTGCTGTCATAAAACTGACCAAAAGAACCTTGGGAGAAAAGGAATTATTTGGTTTATACTTCCGAGTCAGGAGCTCAAGGACCGTGGAGGGGATGAAGGAATGTCCCCTCCTTGCTTGCTTATCTGTCCCCAGGCTCACTTTCCGCTACCTTCCCTGTACTTCCCAGGACCACCTGCCCTGGGGGTATCACCACCCACACCAACCAATAATTAAGAAAATGCTACCACAGCCCACTCTGGAGAAGGCACTTCCTCAACTGAATGCCCTTCCTCCAGGTGACTCTAGCTTATGTCAAGCTGACAAAAACCAAGCAGCACAGGGACCCACCCTCAGAGGGAGTCTGTGCTGATGGGGTGATTAAACTTGATTTCGGTAGTGTTCATATGAATTTATACATGAGCTAAAATTGCACAGCGATGTATGGGCACATGAACACACAAGTACAAGTACGACTGATGAAATGGGAATGAACTCACTGCTTTGTTTTAACACCAACTGTACTGTAGTTATGCATGATGCTCACACTTGGGGAGACTTATGGTGCGTGAGCATCACACTAGTTCTTCACAAAGTTCTGTGAATTTATCATCATTTCAATACAAATGTTTTACATGAATGTAGAGGGAATGCAAAGTACTAGAACATTTAATCTTCAACAATATGTTGTGATTGGAATGATTGAATGATTGAAATGACAAAATCTTATACAAAAACAGTAAGGCCAAAGATATTCCTGAAGAAAAGGGTGAAGCTGGCTACCTCAATTGGCATAGTCAAAAGAATAAGGCTGAGGTCCTCAGTTACTGGAAGTCTCTGGCCTTTTTTCTGGAAGCCAGGGAAGCAAGAAGTTGAGCTGTAGTAGAGCTTAACTGTAGTCCTGAAAGTTCAGACAACAATGACTGTCTTGGAAGACTGCCATTCTCCACCCATGTTAGCCTTAGTCAACGTCACTAATGGTCCCTTAATTCAGTCATCTAGAAATCCTTACTGGATACCCAATGTGTGTCAGCACTGATTCTTCTTGGTGCTTGAAATTTGTCCAGGAACAAGATTGTTTGGGGGAAGTTTCGCCTTGGCCCCTGCCGTCCATGTACCCAGAGAGTCTGGAGTGTTTGGGTGAAAGCTTCTCCCCAGCCACTGGCATCCTTATATCCAAAGAGTCTGGAATGCTTGGGTGGAAGTTTCATTCCAAGCCCCCTCCCCTGGGAGTTACCTCAGTCTAGACTCCACCTCTGAGAAAGACCGCCAAATGATGACCCCTCCTCAGAGATGCTCAAGACCTCTCCCACAGGGTATTTAAACAGCAACCCAGGTTCCTCTCTGGGGGGCTGGAAAGCCATCCAGGAGCGTTGCTATTCATTAAACCTGGGCTTTTTCCTAATTTGGGTTGATTCGGTGGAGAGGTTTATCAGGGTGCAAAAACTTTTCCCATGCTTATGTTCTAGCATGGGAAAAAGGAGAAGAAAATAAAGAGTATATGACTCTTACAGGAAGATGACACAGGGCCAAGGAAGGAGGCCCAGGAATTCAGGACAGGTCATAGTGTGTAGTATGAGAGAATCTTGCTCATTGCTGTGAATTGCAAAGGAATTCATAGCGATCAGTCATCTAGTTTGAGTTTTCTTTTCCTCACATCACTCCAGCATTCTTTCTGCTTTCTTATCATTGTTTTCTTGCCTTTACCCTTCCTTCAGCTTCTCCCTTTGCTCACGCTTGTTGGTTCTCCATCATTTCTCTGCATCAGGGTCATTTTCTCCATGTGGTTCTGCCACTTTTTAAAGAAACGATCTCTTTTGTTCCTCTTTCTCCCCTAACTATGCCTATTTCTGTTTCTTCCATTCTGTCTAGACACCTATCATCCATGTCACTTGCTTGTGGGTAGAGTTTGTATGATAAACTACAAGTGCCGGAGATTTCACTGGTTAAATGTTGTTTGCATGGTAAGTATGTCCTGTCCTTCCTGAAACCAGACACTTCATGTAGCTTGTCTGACACAGGTGCAGAATAACTTTAATTTTATTGTCTGTCATCTTGACCTAAGTCTCAATAGAGCACCCCAGTATTTCTGAAACATGGACAAACACCTCACAGGAATATCCAAAGCACAGCACTATTCATGAAAACCAAAACTACAAACAGTACAAATAATCAAAACCAGTTGAGTGGTTAACTACGTGAATAGTAGAGCATTACATAACAGCAGAACCAGCAATGGAAGCTGATGCAGAGACAGACAAATCCTCATGATTCTAACAATAAAGTAAGACAAATACACAGATAAAGAAAAAATGAAATAGTTATATTTACTGCAGTTCAAATAAAACATGTTTTATCAGGTATGGTGATACACATCCATAATCCCAGAACTCAAAAGAGTGAGCTGGGGGAGTTACAAATTCAAGAACAACCTTAGTTATGTAATCCAGGTCTCAAAACAATGACAAAATAGGTTTTAGAAAGTAAGACAGCTGTCATTCTAGAGACAACAGCTAGGAGATAGTGTGAGAAGGTTTTTGGGAGTGGGGTATGCTTGTATATTAATATAGGTATGAACTAACAGAGATGTACTTGTTTTGTGAAAATTATCCAAGCAGTATATTATAATTTATACAGTGTGTCTGTGTGTGTGCACATATGTATACACATACATGTGGTACTAGGTCAAAAGTTTGCATAATATGATGGAAGCTATTGTACAAAATAATCTGGAAGTGTTTGGGTGAGAAGGGGAAGAACTGTGAGACATTGTTTACCACACTGATATTTACCACACTGACTACAACATGAAATCACATGTTTACATGTAGAAGCAGGATAAAGAAGACATCAAAATAATAATGAACAGTGGAATGTCGGGTTTAAAAGTATATTAATAGCTTTTCTCAGAGAAGACACCACTGAGTCGTACAAAAGGTAAAGTGGGATCAGATTTGGTAACACACACCTGCTAGGCTCAGCCCTGAGGAAGCTGAGATTGATGTACCACAAGCTTGAGACGAGCCAGGACAAAGTAAGACCCTGTCTTGAGGAAGAAAACACCAAATCCAAAACAAAAGATAACTTTACATTTATTAAATAATACATATAAATGTTTCCAGATTTATATACATGTTGGTTTTGTTTTTCATTTGCTATTGAATTTTATATACAATGATAGAATCATTCTATAGGTTAGGAATATAGCAAAGGACAACTTTAATTTCAAATTAAATTTTTATAAGTGATACACACAATATAGTATGCTTGTTATTCATAAAATGTATGAGAGAGACAGTATTCCTAGAGTGTGCTATGACACAATCTTTTTTTTTCAAGACAGGATTTCTCTGTGTGTAACTTTGGCTGTCCTGGAACTCTCTCTGTAGACCAACCTGACCTCTAACTCACAGATATTCACCTGCCTCTACCTCCCAAGTGCTGGGATTAAAGGTGAGAGGACACAGTCTTTTATAGTCACCACGGACCCAAGATTTTACAAGACTAGTTTTATTGTAACGTGGAACTTTGGTATTCCCTTTAAAGAAAAAAAAACAGCATTTTACTCTTTTGAGCAGAGGTGTTACATAGTCTTTTGAGTCTGTCTGTTGCCATTATAAGCAAGTGTCACAATGAGGATGAGAAAACAGTGTTACTCTGGAAATGTCCTGGTTAGCTAAAACCAGAATGCAGGACCAGCTGCCTTCATGTGGTGCTATTGTCTTCCTTCAGAGGTTGGCACATGGCTTCTAACTGTACTTAAGAAGAAACCAGGAACAGAATAGAACAGTATGCCTTTGGGCTTTGGGATATCAAGCACATCTGTGCCAGAGCACCCTATGGTTCTCAAGCCGAGCATCTCAGCTAAAGCCAAGTACTTGTTTTTCTCTAGAAATTAAATATGGTTTCACTCCACTATGAACTATGTAGTTAGTGCAGAAGACCAAAGACTATACATTACATGAATACCTAGAAATTGTTGGTACTCAGAAAGTATTAAGTAAAAAAGTTTAAACGGTAGGAAATACTCGGACTTAAACTATATATTTTAAATACATATTCTAACATGTATGTTTAAAACTATTTATTTTTATTTTTGTATTAACTCCATTTAGAATACTTTGTATTTCAAAGCTGACTTTAAGCATAGACTACTATGGATAATTTACTTTTTAATTTGGTTTTTTGGTTTTTTTGTTGTTGCTTTTGGTTTTTTGAGACAAGATTTCTCTGTGTAGCTTTGGAGCCTGTCCTGAAACTTGCTCTGTAGACCAGGCTGGCCTCACACTCACAGAGATCCACCTGCCTCTGCCTCCTGAGTGTTAGGATTAAAGGCATAAGCCACTACTGCCTGTTCTTAGATTGTTTTAAAAGTGGTTAGAATTCCATTTATGACTCTTTCCTCAGAGTATTATTAAATAGTTAGAGAAAAGCTTGTTCTCATCACCATGGTCTTCTATCAAAAAGGGTTTGGTCAAAATTGTCTTCATGTTAGATTTTTCAAAATATGGTCTCACTATATAGCACAATACCTTGAACTATTGCTTCTCCTGCCTCGGCCTCTCAAGGCCTAGGATTACAGGCATGGACCACCATGCCTGGCTTTCATGTCAGACCTTAAATAGAAGAGAGCTTATCTTGCCATTATACAAGGAGCGGTTAATATGCAAAAAGATAGGCTAGGGCTGCATTTTAAAATCGGAATTACACGGATTGGAGAGATGGCTCAGTGCTAAACAGCACTTGATGCTCTTGCAGAGAACCTGGGTTCAAATACCAACACTCACATAACAGCTCACAACCATCTCTAACTCCATTCTCAGGAAATCTGATACTCTTTCCGGCATCAGACACACACACACACACACACACACACACACACACACACACACACGGTGCACAGATATATGTATGAACAAAACACTCATAAACAAAATAAGTCTAAACAAAATTATTTTTCAAAGGTTGGTTTTATTTTTTAAGCTCATTAATGAGTACATTAGTAACTTTACAAAGTACATTAGTTACCTTTCTTAGTGTGATCAACACAACACTTGGATTTCAAGGTCAGTCTGGGAATCATCTTTCTTTGTGATTAATCCTTCCTAGCTCATCTGCCCACAAAGGCTGTTCAGGGAACACTTACTGCAATTTAACAGGGATCGGGCACACTCTGTGGGCACAGAGAGCAACCCTGTCATGGTGTCTGCAACACTGAGCACTGTCTCAGGTCCCAGACATTGCTGACTTTCAGGGCTAAGTCTCGTGGTTTTGAATATTTTAGAGCTAAGCTGTTTGTTTTCTGCATTAAGACATAGAAATGACCAGTGTTTCTTGTGTAATGCCTAAGAAGTTTAAAAATGTAAATATTTTTAGCATAGCGGATGAAGAAATAGAGCAGAGAACACTTGCAGAGAAGGACCTGATAGACACGTTCTGTCAGCAGTCCTTGCTGGCGGTGACCCCGTACCCACTCTCAGAAAGCAAGTCTACGCATGGCCTGTGAAAGAAACGGGGAAACAAAATATTGACCAATTTAGTTCTCCTTAGGGCCACATTATCTTTTTTAAAATATGTTTTTCTAGTAGTGGTCGCTTGATTTTACTCAGGTATGTATCATTAAAAAAAGGGAGAGAATACAATTTCACTCTCGTTATACATACTTCTAATTTGATTTATGTAAAGCAGTAATTACTGTTCATTGGGCACTAAGTACAAAACCCTACTCTTCACAGGCAGCCTTCAGTTTTCACCATCCTGTGTATTAGCATCTCTATTTTACATGCAGATACTGAAATGAAACAGGGTGGTGTCGGCCAAAGGGCCAGTAAGGACCAGGTTTAGGAGTAGATCACAGGCCTGTCTGGGTTGAAATCCCCACTGCTACAACGCTTCATTGCCTTAGAAGTCTGAATAGTCATTTTATGTGGAAATTAGTAACTATCTATTCCACAGTGTGGCAACTACTCAAATTCCTTTAGTATTTCTTTATTTGTTCATTCATTCATTCATTCATTCATTCATTTCTTGGAGGTAAGATCTCTAGCCTAGGTTGTCCTCAAGTCCCAGATATAGATGTAGATACTTTTCAACTTCTGATCTTCCTTGCCTTCACCTCCAAAGTTCTGGGATTACAGGTATCCATTTATTCTGTGCTGAGACTTGAACCCACGACTTCATAGAGCCATAAATTACCAAAGCTGGATGGACTTCTTGGTTTAATAATAATTTTTGTAGGCTTATTAAGCCAGAGGGACAAGACACCAGGCTTGTGATTTTCATTCTAACTAATTTCTTCCATAAAATTCTCTGCCTGATTTTACGACAGGGGCTTGAATGTTGCCCAGTGCATTTCATCAGGACCTGGAAAGCCATCATACCTTGTTTATTAGACTTGTCTACAACACAGGTTAGGAAATGAGTGTTTGAGATGACGGTCAAAACCAAAACTGTTAATAAACTGGACCCAAAATGCGATCTAGCAGAACTGTGTGTGATCCTGCGTTTGAGACAGAAACCAATTGCCTAAGTATGAATGGAGAACCCAGCTTCAACATAGTTTGTGTGAAAATGTGTCTGTATTTGACTCCTGCTCAATAGAGCCCAAGATTTTGATGTAGTTATAATAAAAACAGACATATGTCCTTTAAATATCTTGATGAGCTCAAAATGCTCATGGTTGCACGGTTTCCATGGCACCCTAACTACTCGCCGGTACCCTTGTTGGCCAGCAAAACATGGATGGGTAGACTGCATGTCTGTGAAGACTGACAGAAGGAATTGCAAAGACTGCTCTGGGAGTCGGGTGGAAACAGAGGTGCTATCATAAGCTGTGGCCTGGCCCAAGGGAAGGCCTGTGTTGCTAGGGAATGCGTAGCTGGGTGGTTATTACGGAAAGGCCAAGTCCACTTTTATAGACACAATTAACAGGGATTTCTATCCATGGAAACTTCCCTTGAGAAGTCACTTGGTTACCAGTGTCTGGAAATTTTCACAGAGAATCTAAATTGAGTAGGAGGGATTTCTGCATGGGCTGAGAACATTATCAGTTTCTAAGAAAACTTTCAACTTAAAATTCTTTTAATTACTTCTCAGCCTTTTGGCTAAGATCAAGTATAAAGTTATCTTAGTTTTAGTTACATCCTTTGATAATTTTATGATAAAAAATTATTTGATCTTTTTTTTTAAATGTTTATTTATTTATTATGTATACAATATTCTGTCTGTGTGTATGTCTGCAGGCCAGAAGAGGGCACCAGACCCCATTACAGATGGTTGTGAGCCACCATGTGGTTGCTGGGAATTGAACTCGGGACCTTTGGAAGAGCAGGCAATGCTCTTAACCTCTGAGCCATCTCTCCAGCCCTTATTTGATCTTCTATTGTTGCTCTCATTTCATTTAGAAGTAAAACCCTAAAGTTTACTCAGATTCCTCAAGGTCAATCAGTCTGATGGCACAAGCTCCCAAAACAGCCTCAGTCTGGCACAAAGGAAGTGTGTAAGCCATCATCAGTCAGGTGAAGACTGATTGGCCCTTAGTTAGAAGTCCCCCATTCCCTTCCCTATCCCATAGCCTTAGGTATGTAGGAAGAAGGGAACTTTGAGTTCACATAAAATCAGAACTTGCTTATGGCTACTAGTCATGCAGTGACCCTGTGTGCCCAAGATTAAAGTTCCCTGCGTTCTTGTCATCCTTAAAGGAATGTCTTCTTTCCATGTCTCCTTCTACGAACCTGTGCCTTTCAGGATGATTTTGCATTTTCCCTGCATGGCTCTTAGACTATTCACTACTTGTTCACACCGTTTATTCAGTATTAAATTCAATTACTTTCTACATAAGAAAATAATGACCATACCTCATCCTGAACATCAAGTTCTTCCTCATTCTTCTCTGCTTCCATCAGTTCAAGAGGATCTTTACAGTCTTGAATGAGGGTGATCTTGATAAAGAACATACACAGTACTTATTGGAAATCTAAGAGCATCAAATACAGCACACACCACCGAAAATGATTTAAACTTTACTGGTACTGTCATTTGTCATCTGTACTTCAGAATCCTCTTCTAATTTCTTGTTCATTCATATTTCTCATACATTCAAACTGGTCCAGCTTTCTACTGCATAAACCCCTTGAACAGCTCCTTCTCTACCTCTGAAGTATGTGCTTCTTAACAAGACACCCTCAACCAGGCAGTCAATAATGCTTGTCTTTTGACGGCTAAGAGCACTTAATACAGCTCTGAGGACACTTTGACTCTGCCACAGTGGGCTGGTGACTGAGGACAATACAGGGGCCCAGCTTGAATTTAGCCGAACTTAATTTATTGAAGAAGTTGACGGCTTAGGACATTTCTGCTTTTTAGAGATAATGTATAATTATTTAATCCTCTCCACAGAGGATATCAATACACCTTGCATTTGTCTTGTTCATTGAGAAGGACATTTCAAAAGCAATACCAAATATATAGCAAAGCTAAAATACCATCCTACACGACTGGTTTTCTACCTCTCATCTCAGAAACAGCTCAGGGCTTTCATTGATGTGAAAATCAGAAGACCAAGTCCCTGTACAAACAGTCTTAATATGATGGGAATGGTAACTACAGACTGTGGCTAGTCTAGGATAAATCTTGTAATAGATCAAAGGGTGGGAGAGGTTTTTAACCTCTGCATCTAAATATCCTCGCCTAACAAGTGACTTTCTGAAGTAAAGAAAACCACCGGGTGAGGACAGATCAGGTTTCATGTGAGATCCTGTGGAGACAGGCAGGGTTCCCAATATCACTGGAGCCAGGAATACTCTGCCTGCCTTGCAAGCAATCATTTATACTCCGGCTAACATACACTGAAAGTGAAAGTCTATGCCAGCCACTCACCACCTCACAGACTGAATCCATGTAGTCTAACATACGAGCACACTGTTCCTCATTCAGCTTTATCACATTTGTGGCCTAAGACTTTACATCAGAATGGGTGCTAACAAGTCACATGACTACTTTCCTCTTGAGAAGGAACTTGTTACCATGGTTTTGTTTTACTTTTGATGTGTGATCTCAAAAACTATATGAGCCAGCTTTGTTTTTAATCTAGGGTTAGAATTTTTTAAGTTGGAAAATTTTAAGCTGTGCATTTAAAAATTGCACAAAAGTGGGTGCATTTTTAAAAGAGAAGAGTTTTATTTATTTTATGTGTTTGAGTGTTTTGTTTACATGTATGTATGTGTGCCAAGTGTGTGCCTGGTACCCACAAAGACCAGAAGCAGGTATCAGATCCCCTTTGACTGGAATTACAGGTGGCCGTAAATCACTACGGGGATGCTAGGAACTGAACCTGGGTCCTCTGGAGGAGCATCCAGAGCTCTTAACCACCAAGCCATCTCTCCAGTCCCTGGCTTTTCTTTTTGGTGGGTGTGAACACTTGAGTATTTGAGATGGACCCTCTCAATAGCTTGGCTTGCTCTTTTCCCCAGGAACATTAGCAAAGCATCCTCTGCACTGACAGCTGAAAAGAATAATGCAACAGTTTCCAGATTAGTTCTACTCTGAGCACCAACTTCTAATCTGTAATAAAGATCTGCTTCTCTTAGCCTTAGAAAACAAGGTAAGTCATACAATATGATTATGTTACAAGGATAATTGTTTTTCATAGATGCTAACGGTAATTTAAATGGAAAATATCCCCCATAGGTTCATATATTTGAACATTTAGTCCGCAGTAGGTAGCACTGTTTGGGGAGGTTATGAAACATTTAGGTGATGGAGCCTTGCTAGAAAAAGAATGTCACTTTGAGGTTTCACAGCCTTGCTCCACTTCCTCTCCTCTCTCTATGTGTGGATAAAATGTAACCAGCCAGTTTCCAGCTCCTGACTCTGTACCATGCCTTCTCTGTCATTGTGGACACTCTGGAACCATAAGCGGAAGTAAACTCTTGGTTGTGATATTTTTATCACAGTAACAGAGAAGAAACTGCTACGGTGTCCCAAATACACTGTGAAAGCATCATGAGAAATGAGGTTCTTATCTAGGCCTTCTAGTAAACCTAGGCAATGAGTTCAAGCAGGTTTGCCTTTTCTCATTATTTGAAAAGAGAATTGACAAAATAAGGCTTTAAGAAACTATAGTGTTTTCCATTTTGTGGGAAAAAATGAACCTGTGATGTGGGATTCTCCTCTGTGGGCTGTGAATACCATTGGTTAATAAAGAAACTGGCTTGACCTGATAGGGTAGAACAGAGCTGGGGGGGGGGGGGGTCTAAACCGAATGCTGGGAGAAAGGAGGCAGAGTTAGGGAAAAGCCATGGAGCTGCCACCAGAGGCAGACATGCCGAAACTTTACCAGTAAGTCACAGCCATGTGGCGATACACAGATTAATGGATATGGATTTAGTTTAGAATATAAGAGTTAGCCAGAAACACGCTTAAGCTATTGGCCAAACAGTATTGCAAGTAATATGGTTTCTGTGTGGTTATTTCAGGGCTGAGCAGCTGGGAACAAACAAGTGGGCCTCCTACAACAAACCTGGATTTGTTTATAGTTTTGTTTGTGTGGGGGGCTATACTTGCCTGTGAGGATACATGTGCTGGTCAGAGGTTCATCAGAATTCTTTGTTGCTCTCCATCTTATATTTTGAGATAGGGTCTCTCATTAAACAGGGAGCCATTACAGCTATCCTGGCTGGCAGTGAGCCCTAGGATTCGCCTATTTCCACACCTGACAGTGAGGTCACAGGCACATACCGCCAAGCCTGTTTTTCTGATGCTTTGTTTATTTTTGTCTCATTTACACGGGTGCTGAGGAACTGACTCGGATCCTGACATTAGCATAGCAATCAAGCCTTTGCCCACTGAACAGTCTCTCATTTTTTGTTCTTTGTTTGTTTTTCAAAGATCACTTGTGGATTAAATCTTAACTCTGTAAATTAAGGATTTCCCGCTGGTATAATATACACTACATTGGTGTACACGCATCACAGAACATCCAAGATTCAGTGATGTCTGCTAAAAATAGTGTTACAGCTAACGCCACGTTTGTCAGGGAACATGCACACTGCAGAACTCTTAAGTCTTGGGCACTACTGGGAACCCTCCTAGAAACTCCTTTAGTCCTCCTGTCTTCCCGGCAGTGAGTGGTTTTCATTCACACTTCCCTGATGAGAAAATGGCTCTTAGAAGTTTAACAGATAGCCTAAAAGTCAGAGGGTTTTTTTTTCTAGGCTGGTTTTCAGTGTGGAGTAGGTGAAATGTTTACCGTATCTAGAAGGGAATCCTGGCCCTCCCTGGATTTAACCTGGTTCTGCAGATAGAGTATAGCATCATGAACCGTCAGAAAGAATCTGTCCTTTCTAATGTTGTCATCAAAGAACCCACACTGCTCCATTTTTTCTAGCACATCATCTGCAAAGGAAAAAGGATGTTTAGTTGCTAGAAAAAGGATTTTTGTAACATCAAGCGATATTGGGTTTGTTTGTTAGTTTTTGTAGCATCTTTTCATCATTTTCTCGTTTCTAAACGATGACCCGGCTCTCCCACAGCTACCCTTCTTTGCCAGCAGCACACGGAATGGCCATCCCACAGTTGCTTGCAGTCTGTCTTGGTGACCCTTTTGCCAAGCCAGTTTTCCCATCCCCTAGTTGCCCTGAGCCTGGCTTCTGGTTCACAGCTGTACCCTCCTCAGAGAATTTTATCTGGCCACTGGGAGTTGTTTAACTTGAAGAGGCCTGGGTAACTCCATTCCCCCACATACTTGACCTAATCCACTGACTGACAGATAAGGATATAAAGTGGAGCTTTGCATAACCACCTCTGTATAGAGCCACTCATGTAATGAAACTTCTGACATCAGGCGCTTGACCAGCTTCGTCTATGGCCCAGTCCCTCTTCCCTCACTCCCTCAACCACTTGTGCATAAATCTCCACCTCAAGCTCCTTCAGAGAACTCATCCTAAGCACTGGTACCCTCCTCTACTTACAGACATGTTTCAAAAGATCTTAGTTGTCTCATCTCTGATCACTCCAAAACAATGTCCCCATAGTCACCAACAGGAAACAAGCTTCTATACTTTGCCACCTGTGTGGCACAAATTGGAAAAAAATCTCTTTCAAAGCTCCAAACTGCCCTAAGCTTTTGTAGTTGGCACACAATTGTTTGTGGTGATAAAGAGTTTTAGAAATAGCACATAATTATCTAATATTGTGATTAACTACATATTTGAAGGTAACTAAGATGATATTATTCACATTCCAAGGGGGGAGATGTGGGCAAGTTTGATAGATGTGCACAGAAGCATTTACCTTGAAGCAAAGCAAAGTACACATTCACATCAATTCTCTGAAATTCTTTGACAATCTAAAAATAGAAAAGAATTCAGTCATATTTAAACATTTGCTCTGGAGAAATGTCAACATCTCTATGGTTAATCAAGACTTTCAGGAGAGTTTATTACTGGAAAACCATAGCTATTTTCAGCCTGACATGATGCTGTATATAAAGATGTATGTGTATATATCTTAAGAAATAACACACCAAGTAAGGTAGTTTATACAGGAAATGCTATCACTCAAAAGGCTGAAGTGAGGGGCTTTTAATTCAAGGGTTACAAAGAAAGACCCATTTTTAAAAAGACCGAGGAAGTACAACACCCAGCGTTAGATAGCCAGCAATTCATAGCACAGAGGTGCTCTATAAAAAATTGTAGAAGGAAGGAACAATGGAGTACTTAGGCGTCCAAATAGTTCTTGCTCATTGTAACAAAAAGTAAATAAGACTTATTCAAAAAGTAAAATCTCACTAAATATCCAGGTCTTTGTTTTAAATGTACCCATGTTAATTATCTTAATTGCACTTTTGTACTATAGTTTATTTATTCCATGTAACTGTTGGGAGAAACAGGAAGGAGGTACATAGAATTTCTTTAATACTCCTTAAAACTAAATATGAATTTACAATGACCATTAAAAGTTTGATTTTAAAAAATCCAGACTCTAGGCCTGTGAGCAATAGTAATTGTCACCATAACATAAGCAGCTATTAAAGTGTGGAACATACTCTGGCATCAGGACTCTACAAAGTCATTAAACCAACTGGCCAGCATAATCTATAATGGGTCTGAGTCACTGCACAGAGTGAAATAAACAACAAAAAGCAGCCAGCATGTGTTCTCAAATGAGCTAACAGACCTGCTGAGAGAACAGAGCCTCGCAGCATATTCTCACAGTCTTTTGCCAAGTGTGATTATTTAACTACCTAGCACCCAGACCCCGGCATCAGCTTCTGCTCCTGCAGTGGTAGCCCACAGCTAAGCTAAAACTAGACAGGCTCCTGTTTCCTGTAATTATATCTGTGGTTGGTGCCTTACCCTGCTGCCCTTTCTGTCTGACCCTCTTGATATCTACCCAAAGCCTCATCTAAATTTGACACTAGGGGTAACACCTATTAAACACACTTTGAAGCACTTACTGTGGCTGTTTGTGCGATTATTTACTGTTTCCCTTTCTCTCAGGAGAGAGCCCAGGCATGTCTTATCACAAGAGTCTTCTGCTAGGTGGAGCAATTAGCACATATTGAAGCATCAAATGAATGAACTTGAGATTCTGCTATTTCTCTCAGTTCTGTGATTACTTCTGTCCTGCATGTTGCTCACTCTTGCCCTGACTTCCTGGGTATGACTCAAGGCCTGCCCTTGCTTCTTAACAATGCCTGCCCCTTCTAGTCCAGTCCTATTACTGTTCCATAACAAGTAGAATATAATACTTAACACAAACTACCACTTTTTCTTGTTTTCGGGGCTCATTTACATTCCAGGAAAATAAAACACACTAAGAGTTAACATCTTCTAAGAAATGTATGTGTGCCAGATACACTCCTGTATTTTTTATATGTATTGTTTATTTGATCTTCATGATACCTGTGTAGTAAATATCACCATTATGCTTATATTACCAGAGAAGAAGCCAAGACAAAGGCAGATAAGAAACTTGTTCTTGGTAGTGGAGGCAGGATTCTATTGCCAAAAAGAAGGAAGGGGAGGATGAAGAAGAGGGAAGAAAATTCACTTGGGCAAATTATAAAGCCCTTTCACACAGTTGAGTGACCCATTCCTTTTCTTTATCATTACAAAAAACAAACAAACAAACAAACAAAAGGAAAGAAAGAAAGAAAGAAAGAAAGACCCCAAGTGTACAGTACAAACAGTCAGAACCTCACCATTCGCAATGACCTCACTCCTACCACATCCAAGAAGGATATGGCTCCACAGTCCAGCACTAGGCTATGGATCGGCACTTTTGGGACATTCACTTTAACTGGGAGTTCGGAGTTCCAGTCCACTTGAATCTCAATTTCTTTGGTTGGGATATCAAGTTCTTCTGGCTCTTCAATATCTTCATCAGGTTCGAAAGCATTATTTGATAAGCCAATATCACTTATGATCCCATTCTAACAAAGAAAACACCGCCAATTTTATTGTCAAAAACACAATTTTCATCAATTCACCCCAAACTGTTTAAAAGTCCTGGATAGGCTGTTAAAAAACCAATATAGCAAGGGGATGCAGTCTTGAGGAGTAAATTTTACTACTATCTATACTTTGGTGCTCTCTAAGAAGAAAATAAAAGAATAAGAAGCCAAGAAATTGAATTTCTGAGTGATTATGGAACATTTCCAAGAGAAACAGAAAAGTCACAGCAAAAACTGTGAAAGTTCATGAAATTACTATTGTAGTTTTCTGGCATTGAGTTTTCACCTTGTTCTTTTCAGTAAAATAATGTTTAAAATGAGATGCTCATTTTTAACGGGGGCCAACTCCATTTTGAGGGAGTTCTGCAGGTTTCATTTACCCCACCCTCTCCCCAGAGCCTACAGAACAGACAAGCTGTTCTCTGATACACCTTTGTCATCTGTTCCGGTGCACCTGGACACCAAATGCGGTGGTTTTAATTCTAGACCGTCTAACCGCTTTCACCAAAGAAAGGGGAGGAAAGATGCTGTCTCACCTTTGTTGCCCTTAGTTGTCCTTTTTTGATGAGTTTCTGTATTCTCCTCAGTGCTTTCAGCCTCTTGTTATAAACTCGAATGGCATCAAATCCAACCTTTAGAAATAAATGTTAGTTACTTAACATGTCTGGTTCTTGATATTCCATGGCATTTGTCTCTTTTGTTGTTAACTGTGTATCTGTATGTAGGTATGTGCACATGTGAGTGCTGATGTCCAAGAAGTCCTGAGGAAGGTGTTAGATGCCCTGAAGCTGGAATGTCAGGTGGTTATGAACTTCCCTACTTCAAAGAGCAGTAACCCCAGAATGGCTATGTCTTAAAAGATACTATTTTGAAAGAACCCCTGACAGAAAGAAAGAAAAAAAAAGTAAGGTCTAAGGGAGTAGACTCCTGCCAGGCACCCCATCCCACTGGAGATTAAAGGCTCTAAGCCAGTAAAAAAGCCAAAATCAGGAAAAAAAATCGTTTAGCTTAAAGTCTATATTTTCTTGATGTCACAAAGCCACTTTGTTATGGGGAAAAGTTTGTTAGTTCCCCTTCGAGCTAGTTTGTTCTGGAAACAGGAAGATAGCACTCGGGCAAATTCCAAGTTCCAAGCATCGCATGCACGTCACTGGAGACAAGAACCATATACTCCAGCAAGGCAACCCCTGTCCCCTCCTCTGCTCTTACCTTCTCTCATTGAGCACACTTCCCCAACACCCGGCACACCACCTTCCTCACACTACTTGTTGGTGAGTTTTATGCCAACTTGATATAGGTTAGAATCAGGAGGGAAGGACTCGCAACTGAGAAAATGCCTCCCTACGATTGGCCTGCAGACAAATCTGTCAGGAATTTCCCTGATTAACGATTCATGTGGGAGGACCTAGGCCACTGGGACAGTGCCACCCCAGGAGGTTCTGAGTTGTGTGAGAAAACAAGCTGAGAAGCAGCCATCCTCCATGGCCTCTGCATCAGTGCCTGCCCTGACTTCCCTCAGTGATGAAAGTGACCAAGAGCTGTAAGATGAAATAAACTCTTTCCTCCCTGAGTTGCTTTTGGTCGTGATGTTTTATCTCGACAATAAACACCTAAGAGAGATCTAATATCTACAACTAAAACTTCTTTTATTAACTTTCTTTTAAAAATATTTTGTTCATGTGTGTGTGTGCTGGGGCCCAGAAGGGATCCCAGATCCCTGGGTGCTGTATTTATGAGCCACTTGATATGGGTGCAGAATCCAAACTCCTTTCCTCTGGTAGGTCAGGAAATATTCTTAACAGCTGAGTTGTCTTTCAGTCCCTCTTCTATTTTTTAAACATTTAAAACTATTTCTTAAACTAATAAACTAATACATGTCAACAAAAATGCATATTTTATGAATGAAACTATTTTTAAAAAAAATTCCTCAAGACATAGTATTGTTTTGAACAGCTGTATCTATCTGGGAAAAGCTGCTGGATTCTCTTACCTGCCTCTGCTGGAGCAACCTGTTCACAGAGCCTCTGGAACTCAGCAAGTCCTTCCTGCATGCCTCAGACCCAACTCCAAATCCCTGTCTGTCTACCTCCCCTCCCCTTCCTCCCCCTCTCCTCCTCTTCCTTCCCATCCCTTCCGTCCTCTCCCCTCCTCTCCCATATTGTAGGTTATTTGGAGCATAGGTGTTATTATATAGCTGTCTTTTCATTATTTATTTTCCTTTTGTGAGAGACTAGGTCTAAGTCTGTAGCCCTCGCTAGCCTAGAACTCATTATGTAAACCAGGCTGGCCTCAGATTTACAGCAATCCTCAGCCTCTTTAATGCTGGGATTACAAGTATGTATTCACGCCATGCCACAACAGAGTTTTTAATGCCCACACACAAAAAACAAGCCTAAGGCCTTATTCTTAGTTGGTCCCAATAAACAAATGAAATCTGAAAATAAGTAAAAAAAAAAAAAATCAAACTTCTCAGAATAAAATACTTACTGTGGACTTGACACATTTTTTAAAACCATCGACATTGCCATAAAAGATGGGGCTAGAAAATCTCAGGATCTTCACTCCTTCGGGCTCTTCAAGCTGGCGGTTTCAAAAAGGAGGAGAGAGGGAGCGAGAGAAGAGAGAATTGAGGGAGTGGAGGGAGGGAGGGAGGGAGGGAGGGAGGGAGGGAGGGAGGGAGAGAAGAGAGGATCCAGGGAGGGGAGGGAGGGAGGGAGGGACGGAGAGGTTAAACAAATCTACACCTCAGGTCTTCTCCTGAAGTTCTGCCTGTTGTGGTGAAATGGTAACTCGCGAGCTGGCCAGTAGCACTGCTGGCTTCTCTCAGATGGGGAGTCAGGAGATAAGGAGATGCCCAGAACCAGGAGCCATGGAATCAGAGTCAGAATCAGACTCCATAGGCAGGGTCTGCTGCTGCGCAGATGAACAGAGCTGTTCTAAAGGCAATGTAGCTCCAGCCTCCACAATTAATTTTGCTAAAACTCTTTGGCACGGGATAGGGTGGGGAGTTACCAAAGAGATCTGGATGGGGGGGGGGGTTCAGAAACTTTGCCATGCCCTGTTTTTTGTTTGTTTGTACCCTAACACAGAGTGGCTGCTCCAAGAGTGAACCCCACAGATCCAGTCTTCTAGTTCTAAGCAGTCACAGATCTTAGTCCACGCTTTGACTCTGAGAACACCTTCATGCCGGAAGATTGACTGACTTGGGCAAGTCTTGCCAAGATGGAGCTTAGAATCTGGAGCTCCCAAACTCTTAGAATCTGGAGCTCCCAAACTCTACGTTGCCCTGTTAAATCACACAGCTGAACTGTGGAGCCGAGTGCCTGTCTTCTTTACAGTCCTGTGCTTCTGAAGGCACGCTGCTCTGTTACGGTGGCATATTTTATATGAAGCACCTGAACTAGTGCTTCAGCTCTCCATGATGCTTGACTGAACATTTACAGAATGGTTATGGAAGTAAACTAAATAACAGTCATAGAATTCCAGCTTGAATATACAGTAATCTTTTTTTTGTTTTGTTTTGTTTTGTTTTTTTGGAGACAGGGTCTCTTTATGGAGTCCTAACTGTCCTGGACCTCACTATGTAGACCAGGCTAGCCTCAAACTCAGAGATCTATCTGCCTCTGCCTTCAGAGTGAGGGGACTAAAGGTGTGTACCACCGCCCAGCTGTATCCCCCTTTTAAAGGTAGTTTTGTGAGTTGTTTGTTTGTTTGTTTGGTTTTTCAGGACAAGGTTTCTCTGTGTAACAATCTTGGCTGTAATGGAACTCATTTTGTAGATCAGACTGGCCTTGAACTCATAGAGATCTGCCTGCCTCTGCCTCCCAAATGCTGGGATTAAAGGCATGTTCTAAAAATTTGTAGAACAAATTTGTATTTTTTCCTTCTGCTTTTGCTTCTTTGTTTCTCCCAGCAGCCACTAACAGTTTTGTTTGTGAGAAGCATCTGACCATCATTGTGATGCATAGTTTGTTTTTCATTTCCTGGTTCATATATTATTTCTATCAATTCCAATGATTTAAAAAATATATCAAATAAAACTTTGGTGAGTAAGAGCTGGGAAGATCTCTTGTTAAAGCTGAATAAAGAAATCTTACAGAGACTTCAGGTCATTTCATAAAGGTTATGGATTACAGACAGAACTATAACTTTTATTAAATGCTGGAAATAATCTAATTGCCTGTTATATTTAGTCCCTCATGATTCTCCCTCATTTAACACCAAAATTTAACTAGTATGGTCAGAATTTCTGTAATTGATATTAAAAACAGGCACAAGTTTTCAAGTCGTTCTCAGTGTGCTGATGAACTTTCCCAACAGACATCTTCTTGGCTTGCACCTAGCAGGCTAAAAGAGAAATCTGGTGACTCCTTGAATTCCAGGCTAGCAAGCCCTCCTGTGACAAGTGTTTTACAAAGGCACTTACGTTTTTGTAATGTGTGACACTTTTATAGATGTCTGTGCTGGGGACACTTCCAAGGCCGTTCCATGATGGGCTGCAAGAAGGAAAAGGAACATCAGCAGTTTTTCTCTTGCAACAGTCACCTTTTCAACTAAAAAGTTAAAAAGAAATAACAGCTATGAAAGAGAACATCATTCTGGTGCTTTGGACTCTGTCTTTATTGCAGATGACATTTTCCTGTCTCTAACTCTGAAATGAACAGCTGGTGTTTGCGTGGAACTGAAGGAAGAGGAAGTAGCCGAGCAGCTTCGGATGGCTGGGGGATAATGAGCCCTCTCTGTGCAGAGCGATTATAGGGGAAGTGCCAAGCTTGCTCACATGGTAAATCGTCTGGAAGCCCGACCGTAACTCTGAATGACCAGCATGGTTATCTTCATTTTTATTAGTTCTAAAATGGTGTTCCAGGGAGTTAGAGACAGACACACACTGAGTATAGGGCACATAGCCTTCATCTTTAACATATAGGTCTGTGGTTTCTTCTACTTTGTGACTTACAGCAACCTCCTGATGGAGTATGGTATCTACAAGAGATTAGATTAGTCTCTTGTTTTAGAAACAGCAGCAGGGTGAAATGAGTTCTGCCTGCTGACCAGACCGCTGATTTCCTGTTCTGGGTGCGATCAGATAAACTCCATGTTTCTCCAACTGTGACTGGCAACATATGCTGAATGCAGCCCCTGGAGAAGGACTGTCTGTTTGAGGGCCACGCTGAATGCTGTCCCTGGATAAGGATTGTCTGTCTGAGGCTCTTTCAGTATTATGCTCTCTGGATACAGATTATAATTACTGGAAATTAAAAACTGTGAAGGGTGCTGCTTTTCATTGGGTAGGATCCTGTTTACCAAACCAGCAACTAAATCATACCACCAAGTTTTCCCTTGGTTCACAACACTGAGCTCATTTTTAAGTTAAGCATGTCAGTTATTCTTTCTCTCAAAAAAGTAAAAACATCTTTCTCGAGCAGACTCAAAACAACAGTACACGGAGCACACACTCAACACAGGAGGCAATGTCGTCTACGGTTTCTTCTCTGTTCCCTAGAAGAAAACTGGGCCCTCTGGAAGCTGATGAACCTTTTCATCACCCTGTGCTCTTAGGGTGCTGAGGCAGACAGCCACAGGCTTTTCAAGAAGACACCACCATGCCAGGGGAGGGAGGGAGGGCAGAGGAAGGGCGGGTGGAATAGGAGACATGAACCCATGCTAAGCTAAAGATATCTATGTTGGTGTTTTTTTTCCAGGTGTCTTCTTCCATCACTGCCAAATCACAGGCAGAGAAGAAGCCAGATGTCTAGAAAGGCAAGGAAAAACTGAAGGAGAGGGCAGCTGTGTTTCCCCAAGCCCAGGTGGACACATAACGAACCCCAAAGTCAGAACAAAACCATCACCACCACAAACAATCTGCCTTTAGCTTGCTTCACCTGTCCTCATAGGCTGTTCCACTGTATGACTCAGAGCTCTCCTGCTCCCACCGAGCATATGAACTAATCTTATTTACTTCACATAATTGTGCGTGTGCCTCATTTGTCAGATTTGAATGAATCCTGGCTGTAATAACCATTTTTAAAGTTCTCAGTTACATAACGAGTTACTAGCTTCAAAAAAAAAGTAAAACAGGTTAGAATATATTGAGGAGTTGGCCTGTTGTTTCATGCTGGTGCCCAGAGCCTCTAATATTCACCCAATTTAAAAATGATTTAGACAAAGCAAACTCAGTCTTTGGCTGATCTAGGTATCCCCCACTTTAGCACAGCCAAAGGAGAGCAGAGTGGACCATATGAGTGAGGACATAGATTCAGAGGTGAGCGTATTGGGATTTGTCTGCCAATTAGTAACTGTAAGCTTTAAAAAAGACCTTTAAATTTTCTGAGCTTAAACTTTCTCACCTGTAGAGTAAGACTAATCAGAGCTATTCCGCATCGTAAAGTGCTGTGTGTATGCATCATACAATCACTCAACGTATAATTTTTATAAAAAGTAGTGTCTGTATGTTTATGAAAATAAGCTAGAAAAATTCAGGCTGTGCTGTCTGTGAGATACCTGTTTTTTGGTTTGTTTGTTTGTTTGTACTTACAACTGAACTCTCAGGACCACAGTCAGTAGTCCAAATAAAAGGCCAGCTAGCAAACCCAGGTCCAGCCCCAGAATGATGGACATTACGCAGGTAAACACCCAGATAACCTAGAAGGGAATGGAAATGAAAAGAATTACATTTCATTACAAAGAATAACAGTCAAGTGATTGGAAACAAACTGTCCCAGAGGTCTAGGACTGTCACACAGAAGACACCGAGGTTCTAGTTTCTCGATATTACTCTAATTCTGCTTTAGGATTCCAAAAGTTCAGGCTAGCCTTAGATGGGGCATAAGGACCGAGCTCTATTTAAAGACAGATATATGGAGGGTCACTTACAGCATCGGTCTTATTCTGCCTCCACAGACAAGGAACGTCACACACCTGCATGAACATCCCTTTCAGGTTAGCAATGACGACCGCTGCCAGGACAGACTGCACAGAGAGAACAAAGGCTGGGTTATTCAAGACAATGGTTTCCATGTGTTGGTTTCTAATCTCCCACTCTTTCCCTGATAGCAGTCTGGTGAACAGGAATTGGTGCACAGAAAAGCAGGGTTTTACCTTCTGCACAGGTTCCAGAAGCTTCCCCAGGGCAACAATGGTGATCAATACAATCAGAGCTGAGGTGATGCCAGCAACCTGAAAGATACTTTCCATGAGGTGGACTCACCGTGCTCACCACAGGTGTGCATGGGAATCTGCACACAGACACAGTTACTTCTTCCTCATCTCTCCCTTTCTGCTCAGGATTTAGAAAAATGAGCATTATTTGCTAAGCCCATGCAATATGAAAAAAAAAAAAACCAGAGCAATATGTACCCACTATTGCTAAGAAATTAAATAAGACATGAAATGAAGCCTGACAATGTAAGGCGAGTTTGCCTTGGATTTCATTTGAGTGGCTGGTGTCAATGGGAGTGATTTAGGAGGTCATCCTTCTGGTTGTTTGCCATGACATGAGACACAGACCCTCATATTTTGGGGAAAGAATCTTTATGGCATTTATTAAATTTTCCTGCATTGTGGAAGCAGCAGCCATAATGGTTACTCATGTTATATCTGTAGCTCAGAATTGCCATGAAAACCCCTGAGAAAATAAATTAAGCCATCTTATTACAAATCCACAGTGTCACATTGGCATACCACAGCTCCTGTCTCCTCCGACAGTTGTAGGCACAGGTTGCAGACACTGGCTTCAGCAGTGGAGCAATCATGGAGTAAAGGAAGCTCAGAACTTTACCTTCGCTGACAGAAAAAAGCTCTGCTAAGATCCATAAATAGTTAGGAGAGAGGCTGAGGGGGTAGGGCCTATTCCTGGTCTGATCAGTTGGCTTGACCAATGAATTCTTTGCTGAGACATCGTGGGGAATAGCTGAGCAGACTAGAGACTCTGAAACAAAGGAGAAGAGACAGGGAACCAGAAGCAGACCAGTCAGAGAGAGGAAGGGGAGAGACGACTGAGCGCAAGCACTGCACTGCTCAGTGTCCTAGCTAAAGGAAGCAGGAACAGCAAATGTAAGAGGAGAACATTTGTTCCATCTGGCACACTGGCCTTTTATGTTTACACGAGTCAGCCTGGGTAATATCATGAATCAATAGATATTAAAAATCTCACTTTGTAAGCCTAACCTTTTTCTATCATCTTCTGACTCCGGGGTCCAGGTTCCCAGCACCAAGGTGAACAGTTCCCTCTTTTGTCTGAGAAACTAGTATCCTCCTCCCTCCCTCCGTTCCCTACACTCCTCCCTCGTCCTCCCTTCAGGTCCTCCTCCTGTTACCTGATCTGTATTCATTGAGCCACTTTCATCTAGGCTCTAGGGATTGATAAGAGGTATATTTGGAGACAGAGAAAACTGTCCACACAACTTGGGAGGAGATTCACCATTCACCAAAGATGTATGATAGTAAGTCTCTAATTATAGAGCCAAGACTAACTTTGATCACAATATTGAAACCTATAAGGGATTAGTTACTTGAATTTAGCGATTTGTAGGAAAAACGTAGATTTTATATCTTCGAGAAGATTCAATTACTGGCAAGTTAATTATTGTTAAGAGAAAGAGTAATTAGAGCTATAGAGTAATTTGTATTAATTACTGCTCTATGAGCCAGCAGAAGTCAGAGCAGGGGTGAGAAAAAGGACAGAAAGGAAGGTTCAGCTATCCAAAGCCTACAGTTAAACACAGCCAAAGTCTATCAACACTCATTCTTCTATTTGCTCTTCAGCATCTGTATGTTTGGTGCTGCTCAGGTGCCAGGCCCAGCACACATGTTAAGTGGTCATTCCTCCCTCAAAGTGCAGAATAATCTGCATTTAGTAGTCAGTGTGTGCTGGGGCTTTGCATTGTCTCATTTAATCCTCACAGGGTCCCTTCGGGGTGGGTATAATTAGTAGCCCCATTCGTGCTAAAGTCGAGGCTCAGGCACAAAATATGAGAACCCGCACAGGAGGACTTGATAGTTTTTTGGTCACAGGTCCCTGGATTTCAGTCCAAGGTCTTAGACTTTTAACCTGAGAACTTAATATGCTTTTCAGTAATTAAATATCAAGCCATTTCTGCTTGTTTCATCCTTCAGTGCTGAACTTCTGGCATCCTTCCCTCCTAAATATAATACAGGCCAGTGTGTGGCAGAGGATATTAGCTTACCAGAACACCATTATCCCTGAGCCCTTTGCCAAGGAGGGCACTTTACACATTATTACTGGGGCAGGCAGCCCATGCCTTGTCTGGGCCTGGAGACAACAGCATGAGAGTGGCCGTGAGCAGCTCAGATCTGGCTGCACCCACGCGGGACTATGTGCCCTGGGGAGCTGGTCAGTGCCTACCGCTCTGGCTGCTGACAGCTTCTGTTATAACAGGCACAGCTTTGAGAAGGCCCCTTGACAAGAGAGCTCTGCTTTGCTTCCTAGTGCTTACTGGGTTCCTTTACCTGTTTCCTCCATGTCAGAAATAACTTCAAAAAGCTTATAAAAAATTCCTCTAAAAATCAAAATTAAATTTTGCTTCCATGTAGTCAAAAAACTGGGAGAGGCCATTTTTAAAAGGAGAGGAAGATCACACATATGTTGTGATGTCGTCTGTACTATGGTGACACCGTCTGAATTGTGGTAATGTCACCCACATTGTAGGGCAGTGATAATGTTGGAGAATTTCTACAGCTCTCCCTGGTGAGTCTCTGCTGGAGTCGTTCTTCTGGTATTTGCTTTCATTTTTATGTCTGTGCTTTAACAAAACCCTTGATGACTGTGTGTGTTTTACAGCAGTTTGGGTTTATTCTACTTCATAGTCTTGGACCTCTTCTTCCTTCCTTCCTTTTTTTCTTTCTTTCTTTTCTAAATAATGTTTTTTTCCTACAAGCTAAAGCTTGACAGAAATGCAGTCCTGGCCTAAGGCTTGTCTTTGGTCTGCACAGAACTGAGTCTGGTTTCAAGCAGACTCTGAGAATGTTTCCTGGGCTTTCTGACTGGCTTCAGTAGGAATTAGCCAATTTTATGATTACCTTGTGAAAGCAGCAACTAAAGGCCATATTTAAGAGGCAAAATTAAAGCCATACTCAGAACTTCAAGAACAGAAATATTACGAAGGAAGAAATGCCAAAATATTACAACAAAAAAGTCTTGTCTAACAAATTATTGTTCTGTGGGACTAAAAACCTCTAGAGGAAGTTGCTCAGTTTTGAAAAGGAAATATGAATGGGAAGTACAATAACTCGGGGCTGGAGAGAGCTGGGTGGCTAAGAGTACTCACTGGCTGCTCTTCCAGAGTGGATCTACATTCCACTCCCAACACCCACATGGTGGCTCACCGCCATCTGTAACTCCAGTCCCAGGACATCCAATACCCGAGGCCGCTGCACATATGTGGTTCTCAGATACATGTGCAGGTAAACACCCACACATATACATTTAAAAGACAATACTATAGCTAGCAAAGCTATAAAGAACTTCATTTTCCTTCTGTGGTACTGGAGATGGGCCTCGGGGCTCAAACACACAGAGCAAGTGCTCTACACTAAACTGTATCCTCAGCTTCTCCCTTTTCTTTTGAGACAGGGTTCCACATCATTACCACAGATGGTCTCAAATTAATTCTGTAACTGAAACAGAGATTTTTTTTAAATATTTATTTATTTTATTATTATGTATACAACATTCTGTCTGTATGTCTGCAGGCCAGAAGAGGGCACCAGACCTCATTACAGATGGTTGTGAGCCACCATGTGGTTGCTGGGAATTGAACTCAGGACCTTTGGAAGAGCAGGCAATGCTCTTAACCACTGAGCCATCTCTCCAGCCCCCTAGAGATATCTTTACTTGGGTACTTGGGGTCCGTCCTGCCTGGATTGACCAAGCAGCTGAAATTACTGGCCTGTGCTACCAGGCTAAGCATTAGGAAATGGTTTATGTTTTTTTCTTTAAACAAGGCTCTTGTTCTCCCTAGATTACAAACTGATAAACAGTATTATTGTTTATTTACTAATGAGTGTGACTGTCCCTGGTTAACCAGGTGAGTGTAGTTATCAGCCAGGTGAAAACTGACACATAAGGGTTTGGCAATCACAGTTTCAGGATACCATTCATATTGCTTTTTTAAAAGTTTTTTTTTTCTTGATTTTTATTGAGCTCTACATTTTTCTCTGCTCCCCTCCCTGCCTATCCCCTCCCCACTTCAACCCTCCTCCAAGGTCCCCATGCTCCCAATTTACTCAGGAGATCTTGTCTTAAGAAGTCTTTTATAAGGGTTGGCCAAGACAAAGAGAGGAGACCCAAGTTGGATCAGATGAGGAAACATAAGGCCCTCTCTCTGGAAGTTAATTGTCATGTCCAGTACTTATGGAAGCTGCTCCGAGCCACCATCCTTTCCTGTTCCCTGCTCTCAGTGTTATCCTACTGCGTACCTGTGTCTTTCCTCCCGTGCTCTCCTGGACAGCCGTTCGAGACAGAGCAGTGGTGGCCACAAAGCAGGAGAAGAATCCTGAGAAGATATTGCTTATCCCAAAGGCAACAAATTCCTAAGGGAGAGACTGGGTTACAGTGTTGTTGTCAAGAGAATGCTCACCGGACTCTCATCAAGTGGCCATCAGGATATTTGCCATGCAGACCCAGTAACATTAATTCAAGTTCTAGAACCATGCAAAGGTGAAGAGAGAGAGACCTGACTCCACAAAGTTGTCCTCTGACCTCCACACATGTTCTATGGCACACACACATGCACACATCATGTGTATACATACAACAATCATTTTATAAGGGAAATAAATTAATGAGAGTTACTTGGCTACATGGAAAGTTCCTTGTCCAACTTAATAGACAACTTTTATATTGCTTTTGACCTGACTGGACTAGCACTTTTAATTAGTGCTTGTGACAGATATTTTGTGTCAACTTGACACAAGTCAGAATCATTTTGGAAGAAAAAACCTCATTTGAGAAAATATCCCTACCAGATTGGCCTGTGACTGAACATCTAAAGCATCTCTCTCTCTCTCTCTCTCTCTCTCTCTCTCTCTCTCTCTCTCTCT